GGTTTTTCTCCGGTACCAGGAACCGAACTCACGACCTTGCGCTTGCTAGGCAGGCGCTTTTGCCGCTGAGCTAAATCCCCAGCCCCTCTCCCCTTTTATATTAATAGAACATTTCCATTTTGAATTGTCTGCTATTCCCCTGGGTAATTCCTGATGCTTATAATTCAGGTTATTAATTTTCAGCCAGGGAACTACAGAAGTGATGTAGTTCTCTGAGTATCACATCTAAAGACATCTAAAATCTATTTTGATACCAGCCAAAGTATTGTCCAATTTATCCAATAAAAAACTTCTACATTTTCCCTTGGCACAAGTACGTAATCTGTGGGGACACACTTTAACACACTGCAAGTATCTTATCCCATGTCAAGATTTGCCCCTAGATTTAGCATCCACTAGTGCTTGTCTGCCTGATTTAAACTTTAGATTATGATGGATACAACATGCTGACTTAAATATTTCTTCCCCATTACTATTCACTACTCAGCATTCTACATTATTTGTCCATCTATTTATGAGCAGTACAAATATATGAAATTGGACTTTCTCAATGATTTATAATTTACCCCTATACTTAATTATTCTGGTACTCAAACTCTCAGACTTAGCCAGCTTCAAGCTGGCATCTGTATCAACATGATATATTCTACTTTGGAGGAGTCTTTCTGTTTTTATTTCCTTACTTTTATTTTCTTACTTTCTGACATTTACAAAAATAATGTTCTGGACTCATCTTTTACCCATCTTGTCTCCAGCTTAGATATAATCACTTCTCCAAAAAGTCCTGGTTTCTCTCAGTGAAAAATTGTGACAAGACTAAGATCTAGTATAACATTATTTAAAGTCACTATTTTTGTTGATTTATTTTCATTTTGAATGTGGGTCACATTTTTCTGTATCTTTGCATGTTCTTCTGCTCTAAGGTGACAATTAGCAGATGTTTGGTCTGGGTCTGGTGGCAGACTGATTACTGATATATCCTCCTGAACCTGCCATGCTTGGGTAGGTACTTGGTCAAAATAGGTCTGTTTCAGGTATGTCCTTAGTGCAAGCTTACAGCCTTCCTCTAAGGTGGTGGTCCCTACTTATAGGATCCAGCCTTTCCAATGTCTCAACAGAATGGCTAAGGTGTACCCCTCCTACCAACAAACAACGCCTGGCTTCACCACTCTGTTCTTAGCATTGTAGCAGCTCTCTGCTAGGCATCAGCTGGTGTAGGTCTGGCTAACTCAGAAGCTCCCTTCTCTCCAGTAGCTAGCTGTACAAATTCCAGCCCCATCTACACTCCTAAACTCCAAGATCTGCCTCCTCAGTGGATTTGCCTCCTCAGTGCTGAGACCTTGAGCTCTACTAGCACTCACCACTCTGTGCCTTGGCAGGGAACCTGCACAAGCAGAAAGCTGGGCAAGTGAGAGTCCCCTCATGTGATTCTCTTCTCTCAACAACAGTGATCGCAGTCTTGGCTGCCTGTTGCCCACTGCCAGTGGCCGCGCAGCCAGATGGCCTGTCTTATAGCTACTGACCACAGAAGACAAGAGCCGTTACCAGTTATCTTTCTTTTTTTTCTTCATGCTTTCAACACTGAAGCTGTACTGGGAAGGGTAAAGAATCATTCTTTCAGCATGTAATAATGCTCCTTATGTAAGTATTTCAAACAAACTCACTTTCTAACAATCTGTTTCTTAGAAATGTATGCGTCTTTTACTGCAGCATCAGAAATACACTCTAGCAGTGAAGAGCAACCCCACACAGATGTGAGGGGAGAGCATCTTCCCCAGAAAGGTGACACTCACTCCCTATGGCCGGCTGTCACCCACAATGCTATCACCCACGCCTGCATTTACATTTCCATGCTCTCCCTACAAACAGCCCAGCAAAGCACTACACTCTCTCCTGAGCAATCCAAGTTCACTGCTGTTCTTCATTTTTCCTGTTCATGCACATGTACTTCAGGACGAGACCTCCATTTGAAACATTTTCTAGTGTTCCCATCTCTAACTGTAGTCACCAGTGAAAACTAATCAGGAAAAAAATGTCAAAAAGAAAACTCAACCCCAGACACAGGTTAATCAAAAGAAAACAAGAAGAATCATTTGTATCATGTATTGTGAGAAAGTAGGGTTTCGGAATAACATGAAAATGTACAGCAGCTTCCCCTGCACAGGCCTCTATATCTGCACCCACCACATGGACACATGGACACAGTGTTCCAGTGGTGGACAGCCTCTTGTTATCTTTTTTTGGTGGAAGAGCTCGGAATTGAAACCAGGTCCTTTGCACTGAGCTACGTTCCCTGGCCCCAGCCTGCCTGCCTTTTTTTCTTTCTTTCCTTTCTTCCTTCCTTCCTTCCTTCCTTCCTTCCTTCCTTCCTTCCTTCCTTCCTTCCTTCCTTCTCAGTGAAAGGGTCTCTAAGTCACTAAACCATCTGAGCCAACCTCAAACTCGCCATCATCCTGCCTCAACTTCCCAGAGTGTTGGGATCACAGGTATGTGCCACCAAACCTGGCTCTCTTGCTATTTCTTCAGTAGATTCTTCTATGCATTAGACATCCACACTGTAGCCCACCTAGTTCACTTTCTCAAAAGGATTCATGCACAATAGGCCATACCTTTCTTAGGTTTTACTTCGGGTGCCCTAGAATTTAAAATTACTGTACACATCTAGGTTTATTTTGTTGTTGTTTTGCTTTCTTTATGAGACAGGGTCTCACTCTTGAGTTCAGGCTGGCCCTGAGCTCACTTTGTAGCCCAGGCTGGTCTCGAACTCATAATGATCCTCCTGCCTCAGCCTCCCGAGTGCTGGGATTATAGGCGTGCGCCACGATGCCCAACACCGTACACATCTGATGGAAGCACACTGCTGGCCTGTCCTTTGGCCCACCCTGTCTTTTTGTCCCTTGTCCTGGCATTCCAAATCCTATAGGGACTTTTAGAACAGTCTTCTCAAAGGCCTTGGTGTCCTCCATGACCCTGTGGAATTCTGTTTCCACAAGTCAGCGCATGTCTGCCACCACAGCACATATTTGTGTATGGTTCTCTGTGCCAGGAACTCAGTGGGCTCAAATAAGACTTCCAGGATATGTTCCTTAACCTCTGCTTTTCCATTTTCTTTCCTCACACTTCATGCTGCATTACTTGTTAAAAACCTGCAGGCATTTTGTGACTACACCCTTTCTCATAAAAGGCCCTTTTTACCTCTTTTTCTTTTGACTAACTCACTGTGGCTTGACAAACCCTCAAAAGTTTTTCATGACCACTACCTGAAGCTGGGCCAGTGCCTCACCTTAACATGCACAAAATACTCATGCTCACCTTTACACTATCCACTGCTGAGCACTTTTAACACATTCGAGTCAGGCCATAGTTCCTATGCCTTGCTGCTTGGCAGCTCTGAACCACTGGAGGTACCTGCATTACTATCCCACATATATGTACTTTTTCAGTCTTCACAATAATCATTATTATCCCTGCTTTACAAATGAAAGATTGGGAGAGAAAATGAACCTTCCCTAGTTATCCAGCTTATAACTGGCAGAGCTGGGATTCAACTCCAGGCTGCTCAGTTCCAGAGTCTTAGACTCACAGCCACCTCTCCCCAGGCTTGTCCACTAAAAACTAGCATGAGGCCAGACTATGGAAAAGGCAGCCCAGCAGAACATAAATTAAGAGTAGTGCTCACTGGTGAGCTGTGCTATCCTAATGCATAGCAGGAACAGCTGAGTCTTTGAAGTGTAGTATGTACATATTTAAGCATACTGTAACAATCCAGGCTAAAAGTCATCCAAAACACACTTGTGTTTGTCACTCTGGGGTGCACCTTCTTAGTTAGTTTGTACATGCTGAAAGCAACAAGGTGGCCTAAGAACCTGGCTTGGGAGTCGGACATGCCTGAGTTTCAATCAGTTTCTCCTATGACAGCTCTAGGGCCTTGAGGAAAACACTTGACCACTCTCTGTGACTCAGTGCCTTCATAGTTAGAATTAGACGACATAACATATGTGAACAACTTAGTTCCCTGGCATTAAGTGCTAAATAAAATAAAAATAATAAGTAATTGTTACTATTTTGCTTCAAGATTCATCCTAAGGCATACAGGAAAACAGCAAATGCACAGTATTTGTCTGGGAACCAAGATGCAATCTCTAGGATTTGAAATGAAATGTGAAATGAAGTATCAT